ACTGGGGGTTGCAGGGTTCCCACGTCGTAGGGTTGTTCTACACATTAAGTCTAGTGAAGTCCCCAGCAGTGCCCAGTGCTTGCTGCCGCCACAGTTAGCCTTTGCCGTGGAATCTGGATGTGACGCCTGCGGGCGCTGGGGGCCAGTTTGGGAGCATAGAGACTCTTACTGCCCCTGCCTCCCTGGCCCAGGCTCTGTCCTTGCTCTTCTGAATTTAGGGTAATGCCGTGGCCCTGGGTGGCTGGCCAGGAACAGGGAGCGAGAGAGTGAGGTGTGGACGCGGGGCGGGCACTGGCTGTGCAGTCCTGTCCAGGCGTCCACCCCCCGCCCCCGCCATGCCTTCCTGCAGCTGTGTGGGCTGTGATCCCCCCAAACCCCACCCTGGCTCCTTCGCTTCCAGAGCTGCCAGCCCTTCTCCTCCACAGCTTTTCTGGTTCCTGAATTTATGTTATGTCATTCCTGGGGGTTGGATGGGCCTGGGAGCGGGGTAGCCACGTGCCCAGTTCTCCATCTTCTCCCTGGCCCCCCGAGGCTGGCAGAAGGTCCTTTGGCGATCTCTCCTGGAATCTCTGTTAGAATCAGAGTCAGCATGTAAAGAAAACTGATTAGGCATGAGGCAAGACTCCACCCTTCAAACCAAACCTGCATGAGCCCCTGTAACAGTCTCCTGTCTCTCTGGTCCTGCCTGAGCCCCTGCCCCCAGCTCCCTCATGTCCATAGGTCCCTCATGGACCTCGGGGCACATGCCCATGTCCCTCTCCCTGTAGCGAGCCATCTCCCCCACCACCAGAAGCCAGGCTAGGAATTGACAGAGCCCCTGCTGAGTCCTTCCCATGGGCTGGGCAAGGAGCAGATCATTTTTTTCTATTTTGCTTGCTCTGAGCACAACTCAGTTTTTAGATCTATTTTGACAGGATCTAATCCATACAGAAAAGTTGAAGGAATAGTAAAAGATTTTGTAGCATGCCCATGCTTGGGCTTCTCTGGCCCTCCTCATGAGGGATGCAGATGAAGCTTTGGGGCAGGAAGGTGATGTGCGGGGACCGTGGGGTAAGGATGCAAACATGGAGTCTGCAGGCTTCTCTGTTGTAAGCTCTTTTCCCCATGGTAATTGACAAGTGTCCTGTGTGCACCTTGATACTTTGAGAGTATTAAAGCATAACTTGAAATCCCTTTAACAGCATCCTCTTTCTGCTGGTGAGAGTGTAGAATTGGACAGACCCCTGGGAAGGCAGGTCAGCATAAATCTCCAGAGCCTGGAAATTGCTCACAGCCTTCTAGTCTCCCTTGGGAAAATCACTTCCAGGGGCCAGGCAGTGCCAGCACAGTGATGGACTCGGGGTGTCCAGGTGGCGCCATGGACACCGCACAGACGCCTTGGCGGGTGTGCCTGGTGAAGCAGCACGTGGCCCCAGCCCTTATTATTTGCTTATGAGGTTCTTAATAATCAGTAATTTTACAGGGAACTGCTGATGGTAAAGTGTTTTTTCAAGGAAAACATGGAACTATTAAAAGTGTCTATTGAAAAGTACTGGGAAGAACCCCAGATGTGTTAGCAGCACTGGTTTAAAATGCGGGGGTCTCTTTTAAAATACGACATTCTCTTGTACTTTCAATTTTTTGTTTGTTTGTTTGTTTAAAATGAACTCTGTTTCTTCTAAATCATGGGTAGAGGGGAAAGCAAACATATTTTTAAGCCCTTAGTTTGGTGCCCTCTGGGTTCTGTCCTCTCTGACATCTGCTGAGCTGCCCTGTGGGAACCTCTCCCTTACTCCTGGGGGGTGGGCAGCAGAATTCGGGTCCTTGGCAGCCCCCGCCTCCCAAATCCCTGCCCTGCCTCCTCAGACTTCAGGCACTCTGCCATCACCGGCTCCCAAGCCCAGCCTTCCCCTGAGGACAAAGCATGTTCACCTGGATTCCTCCTGTCCCCTGCAGACAGGTGCTCAGCTCCAGGGTCAGCCAGTTCCATCACTTAGAAATGGCAGGCGGGGCTTCTCTCCTCTGTGGAGTGTGGGGGTTCCTGAGACTTTAAATCAGAGAGGACAGAAGGCCAGGGACATAACAGATGTCTGAGATACAGGAGGGTCTATGTTCATAAGGTCTCTTTCAGATGCCAGGGACAGAAGCCCAAGTCAAGTAGGTTAAACCAGACAGGTAAGTTTATGGAGCTGGAAGGCCCAGGGGTGGACTTCAAGCATGGCTGGATCCCCAAGAACATTCGCTACTCACTCATACTTCTGCAGAAGCTCTCTTGCTGGGCTGGGAGGGTACTGGAGCCCCAGAGGTGCTGATCACTGCTTTGGCAAAGCTGGCTCTTTTCTCCAACAAGGTGTCTCCCTCCCCAGTGTCTGTGATTGTTCCTGACCATTTGGCTAACCCTTTCCACATGTCTGGGGACGTGGATTTCTTCTTGCTCAGAGATCAGGAGCGGAATAAGTCTCTCTCAGTGAGTATCCAGGAGAAGGCTGCCTGCAGCTCTTCCCTCTCTCACACAGCAGCAGCCAGATTGCACTTTCCTCAGGTTACTCACTCTAGAATAGTCGATGGCTCACCATTTCCTATGAAATCAACTTGAAAATGCCTGGCCCTCAGGTCAGAGACCTGTCCCACTGCCTTACCAGGCTCATCTCCACTGTGCCTGGGCCTTTGTCAGGGAGGGCTCTTTGTAGTTGCTGTGGCCACGGTCCACGGTCTCAGCTAACATGCCTTAGCTTCTGCTGTCCTTTGCAGAGATACTGTCTGCTCCTGAGACTCTCCCTTCCTTCAAGGCCCTAGGAAACCCCCCTGCCTGCTCCAGCCTTGCACAGTCCCCTCTCACTGGAATTCTTGGAGGCCAGACACGCACAGAGACGCATGCCCCTCGGCAGCGCCTGGGAGTCCCAGGGTCAGCCCTGACTGTACCCTCATATAGTCTCTCTTGCATCATCATCCCGAGAGCCCCTGTGCCCAGATAACCCACTCCCCCTGTGGCACGGTTGGACTGCACACCTGCCAGGTTGGGGGACTCACCCAGTGGGCATCTCCACTAGGAAGTGGCCAGCTGGGCCTTGTCTCTGGGACACTCTCAGAGGCACAGGCATGGCTAGCATCTGGCTCCCTCCTGGGATGACTCTGGTCACCCCAACTCAGGGCTCAGCAACTGAGATTCCTTTGAGCAGTGGCTCTTTCTGTGACCTTGCCCAGGGCCAAGGACACCCAGGGACATGCAGGTCCTCCAGCTCCCGCCCAGACCTGCCTCGGATTCTAGGCAGTGGGAGGAGGGACACAGCCACTCTGAGCAGCGCCCATGGCAACACACACACAACTTCCCCTTCCTTCCCTAGAGCTGCCTGGGCTTTCTTCTGCCCGCCTGGCCCAGCTCCGGGAGCCTCTGCCTTCCTTCCAGACTGCCCCTCAACCCCGATCTCACACTCCTCCCCGCAGCGGAGCCCCTGGCTCCTCGTGCTGCCCCCAAGCAGCTGCCCCAGTGTCTTCTAATCACAGACCTTCTGCCACTGGGGTTCTAGCAGGCGAAATTTTCCTGACTTTGTTATACATGGATGTGCGAAGTAGTGGCTTCAGGCTGGATCCTGGCACAGATGTCAGGTTCTTTAGAGGTGGAAGTGGTGGTGCACCCTATGGGGCCAGCAGGAAGTAGACTTTGACCAGGAGGAGCCATGTGAAGAGCCCCCGTGAGGGGGTGTCTGCAAGGGATGTGGAGAACCCCCAGGGCCTGGACTGCGTAAGGGGCTGGGCACTCCTGCATAGGCCTCAGGGAAGAGGATCCCCACTCGGTCCTGGGAAGTGAAGGGCTGGGGAAGGATGCAGCCCAGGGGGCGTCAGGTGGGAGGCTGGAGAATAGGTGTGGAGGGGCAGACCCCCAGTGACCACGGGCTGCCCACAGTGACCAGGGAGCTTGCAGACCAAACTCGGAATTTCCAGTTTCTTTTGGAAACCCCGAAGATCTAGTTTCCCTGAACTTTAGTTTGTCAGATGTGGCAAATGACAAGACACTCGCTTTAAGGCTGAGTTTCAGATAAATGAGGAGTCACCTTTTATTGAGTCTGAACCCTGTACTGTTGATCTGGAATGCACATCTGACCCAGCATCTGGCGCCCCGGTTCCCATGAGGCGCGTCCTGCCAGCTTCGCTGACAACCCCTGGGAAGTTGCGCCCCGGATCCCAGAGCGCTTCGCGCAGGCACACAGCCCCGCAGTCTTTGCGCACCGCGCCGCACGCGTGCACCTCGCCCGCGGCCCCCTCGCTCCCGCGAAGTCCCCGCCCCCGGCAGAGGGAGGGCTGGCCCCGCCCAACCCCACCTGACCCCGCCCCGCAGGATCGGGAGCGGAAGAAGACGCTGCGAGTGCACGAGAAAATGACCTACTCGTCCAAAATGTCGGCCAAGCGCACCGGCTTGTGGCGCCAGCTGCAGCTGGAGGACGAGACGGAGGACCAGGAGGCGCGTGCCGAGCAGCTGCGCACCTTCCACGACCACACGGCCTGGAAGCTCTCCATGACCCAAGGTGCCGCCCCCGTCCCCGAAGTAAAGTCTTTGTCCCTCCTGTATGAGCAGTGCTTTTAAAGGGCTTGGAGATGCGGTGCTGCGGTGCCTTGGGGAGGGATGGGGTCTTCTGTGTGCCTGACCTCTGTCTCCCCACGTCGCAAAAATCATTCCCAGATGGACTTTGAATCTAAAAGCCTTTGCGTTCCAATACTGCATGTATTCCAAATGCTGGCTGTGCACAGTGAATGCAGGCCTCACAATGTGTAAACTATAGGCATTGAACTTGGTAAACAGCGTCTCTGGTAAGGAGCAACTCCATTTCCTGGGTTCAGAACTGGGGTTCAGCATTTAATAGTTTGTCGGGCCTGGGCAAATCAGCTATGCCTCACAACTTCCTCTCCCAGCTGATGGCAGTACCAGCCTCGTGCGTCGTGGGATTCAGCATCTTCAGACACTGCACATAGTGAAAAAGAGCTATGTGTACCTGAGCTATTATTTTTTTTGACCTAGTAGAAATCAGAAGTACTGAATATGCATTAATATTCTACCAGTGAAGTATAAGTCTCTAAACTAGAAGCAGTTGAGAGCAGAAAGTCCTGGAACCCAGTGGGACTGCAGGGACCCTGCATATGAACATGTAAAGAGACTCCCAAGTCTCCACCCCTGGAGACGCTAGAATGAACCTTGGAGGCTTGTTATCTCAGGTGGAAGCCCTGAGCTTGTGCTGACGTTCTGTGTGTGGAGCTCTGCACCCGAGGAGCAGCACTGTGTGTGTTGTTTCTGCCTCCACCCTCCATTTCTAAGACCTGGGAGCAACAGGTGGCATCTGGATGGGGAGGACTGGACCCAGCAGGTTTCGGCACAAGACTCATTGGGGCTTCAGCTTTGACTTTCAGAGAGGAGCTGGGTCTCCTTGAGGGCAAGGCCTTACCCTGAAGTAGTTCAGAGAGGCTGAGGCTGAGCCGGGCTCTCTGCCAGGCACCTAGACTTAACACAGGTCTCCTGCACCACCCCAGGTGCTTCTGGAAAGGAAGGATTTGAGGGTAAGGCAGAGAGCCACAGGGTCTGTCCAAAGCTGGGAAGCATTCAGGCCTTCCTCTCCAGAAGGGCATGGAAAGAAGCCCCCTGGGCCGTGGCCCCAGCTACCCTGCCTCTCCGCCTGCATTCTGGAGGATGGTCCTGACGCCCAACCTTCATTTCCTCCCAGCTGGCCGATGTAGACTTAGCTGCTGCCCAAATCAGGCCCTGGAGACTTAAGGTACTCCAAGTAGACATCATGCTGCCCCATTTTTCTCTCACCGCCCCTTTTCAGGTCCTGGCCAGTAGGCCTTTCATTGTTAAGTCCAGCCAGGTCAAACTTCCAGTGCTGGGGTGTCCAGAGCCTCATTCCCGGTGAGAGGGGTACTACAGCAAGAGAGGCTCAAGTCAGACATACTGAAGGACTTCCCACCTGCCCATGGAGACAGTACTGTATTGGCAGAGTCTGCTCTCCTTTTGCTGGAGACAGAGCTCAATCTCCCGCAGTCCCTGTAGTAATCTGGACCTCACAGCAGGGCGTGGCTCCTAGAGCAGTTAGCTGACCCCATGCTGCCTGGCTTTGCCCATCCTGGGCAGTAGACTTGGATCTCTCTCCAACTGCCCACCCGCCCCCTCATGCTTTGTGCCTCTCATTGCAGAAAGGAAGACGGAGCCTGAAAACATAAACAGCTACATAAACCAGAAGCGACAAATGTTCCTCATCCAGGTAGGCTGGCTGCCCTGCGGGCCAGGCCACCTTGTGCGGTGAGGTGCGTGACTCCCACTCGCGCACCCTCAGTATGCCCTGGATGTGAAGCGGAATGAGATCCAGCGGCTGGAGAGGCTGGCGACCAGGGAGGAGGCCGCGCTGGAACGGGCAGAGAGGCTCCTGGAGAAGGACGCTGCTCTGTTCGATGAGTTCCTCAGGGAGAACGACCGCGGCTCTGTGCAGGCCCTGAGGCTGTGAGTCACCAGGCCCAGCCGCCCATAAGTGTCCCTGGACCCACCCCCAACCCCACCAGACCTGTCCCTGGAGCTCCCTCACCTCCAGCCCCAGCTGCAGGCAGCCTGGAGGCCCCTCTTGACGACCTGGCCGTTGGCTCCCTCCCCACCCAACCCCCAGGGCAGAGAAGGAGTCCAAAGCAAAAACGGAGAAGATTGTCCAGGTCCGCGACCTGACCACCCAGATTATGAACATCAAAAGGTGAGGTCAGAGGGCAAACTGGGACCTGGGCCACCCCTGCAGGCATGTCTCCCAGAGCTGGAGGGCGCCCTGGACCATAGACACCTCTGAGTCCTGACTGTCTCAGGGATCCAAAGCCCCGTGGGCTGCTGCCCATTTTTCAGGTGAGGTGACCTTCTTGAAACCAGACCACCGGGGCAAGGCTCGCGTGGCTCTGAGGCCCCCAGCTCACCCTGAGAGGATGGCTGCAGCTTTGCGGGTCTCAGACACTGGTCCCCAGGAGGGCGGCCTCCTTCTCTAGCACCCAGTGCACCTGGGCCTGTCCTCCAGGAGGACCTGGAGCACCGGGCCTGGCCTCCCCTCTTAGGGGCCCCGGGGGCAGAGCCTGACCTTGACTGACCCCTCCCGGATCTAGTGAGATCTCCAAATCTGAAGACACTCTGCAGCGTTACAAGGTCTACAAGGATTTCCTGTACAAGCTGTCACCCAAGGAGTGGCTGGAAGAGCAGGAGAGGAAGCGCTCGGCTCTCAAAAAGGCCAAGGAGGTGGTCACGGCCTTCAAGGAGAACTTGCTATTCTCCAAGCTCAGGGACAAAGGTAGCAGAGAAGAGGGCATGCCCTGGTCCCCCCAGGCCCTGCGTCCAGCTGGCGTCTGGGCCGCAGGCTCCGCGCCTTCCATTCCTTGCAGAGTCCCAGCCTGGTCATGGCCACCCTGTGCCACCCGGGCTCAGCCCCTACACTCACTCCCAGGAGAGGGGGTTGGCTCTCAAAGCAAACCTTCATCCTGCAGCTGAAGGGAGACAGTGGGGAGTCTCGGAACCCTGTGCCCCTGAGCCATCTGAGACCCCTCTCTTGCTTTCCGTAGGACTAGGGGTCAAGGGCAAGATGGACTCCAGAGGTAAGTGGCTGCCCCCGGCTGGAGGGGCCCCGTCCCTGGCTGGGCAGGAGGACACCCTTCCTCTGCTTCCTCCAGAGGGGCAAGTCCCAAAGAAGCCCCCCAGGCTTCTGCAGGTGGTGCGGCTGAGGCAGGTCCTGTCCAATACCGTCAACCTCCAGCAGGGCAACCAGCCCAGCGTGTCTGGCAGCCTGGACCCCAAAAGGTGAGTGGGCTTTGGGGGCTGTAGAGGAGGCCGGCCTGCTGGGGAGTGGCCCCCAGTGGCTCTGGCCAGGGGCCCCCAGACCGGCCCAGCCTCCCTCAAGGGGAGAGCATTGGGAGGGGCTGTTCCCAGCCCGGAGGCTCTAGAGTCGGACTTAGGCCTGAAAACCGAGATGTTTTCCCAGCAAAGGTTTGTTTCTGTCTGATTTGGTGAACTTGAGCCTGGGGTGGCCCACTTGGCCCTGGTGGAGCAGTCACATGTGCGTGGATAAGGCAGCCACCTGGGCACTTGGGACAGGACACACCTGCTCATGCCCTCTGTGGCAGGAGTGCTGGCTGCAGGGCCAGAGTCCTCGAGCCTTTTCAGAGAAGCTGGGAGTCTGGGTTTTCATATAAAATCTCCCCAAATTTAAGTGTGACAGTTATTTTCAAGTCTTTTAAGAAACACGGTAAGAGACAGACAGAAACCACAAACAGATTCGTGGGTCAGTGCACAGCTGTCCCCGTACTTTGTTAAAAAACGCCTCATGTGCAAGACCAGAGCTGCCGGTCACCCCTAGTTACTTCTCCTCTCACTGAAAACAATGTTTAATCTTTGGTAGGAAACCACAGCTCTCTAAGTGTGAGAATTCCCTGCTCCCCTGAGCCCACCTCCTTCCAGCCCCTCCCCACCTGGCTGTTGGCCTCCCTCTGCACAGCCTCCATCCAGCCATCCCTGAAGTTGCTGTTCTGGGTGTACAAAGAGCCCTGGGATGTCCTTAGGATTCAGTGTAAATACAAGCAAAGGTGGTTTCCTTCTGTGTATCCTTCTCGGTAGAGAGCCGACCCTTCCCACTTCTCTGTCTCTGTTAGTACTGCAGTCAGGCGTGTTTCCAGAGGTGGCGTCCTCAGCCAGGGCTCCAGCTTCCCCCAGTGGCCTGTCCAGTGACCTCTTGGGGCTGGCCAGGTGACATTCAAAGTATGTGGTTATCGAGGATACTGACCTGGCTGGGTGACATTCACAGTATGTGGACATGGGGGACACCGATCACAGCCTTGGGTGGTTATCAGGTGTTTGCTTTCACACTACCAGGGCCACTGCCAAGGTGCTGTCCTGTCATATGGCGTCTGGACCCCTTTGGCTAGAGGGACAAGGAACTGGAGAGCTGTAGGGGGAGAAGGGCGGGTGACTGGTGGGCAAGGGCCCCAGCAGAAGAGAGGGTGATGGATTGGCTGTTGCGAGTGGAGGGAGGCCACTGTGCAGGGCAGGACAGCAGGCTGGAGGCCCAGGAAAGGGCTGCTACTCCAGCTTGAGTCCAAGGCTTAGCTGGCAGTCCCCTCTTCTTCAGGGAGGTCACTTTTCTGTCCAGGCCTTTGACTGATTGGATGAGGCCCACTCACCAACGAAGGGTCATGGGGTCATCTGCCCAGAAACATCTAGAATAATGTTTGACCTTCCCCAAGTGACACAAGAAGTTCACTGTCACTGGGGGCTCAGGGTTGGGTCTGCAGGCCTTGCAGAACTGTTTCAGTGTCTGACAGCTCCATCAGTCCCTTATGCTCCAGCTGAAGGCCAGGCCTCTTTCCGGGGACAAGGTCCAGCCCCAGTGACTTGCCCCGTATGCCTCTAGCACCCACCTCCAGGGCCACCAAGCACCTCTCGAACCCCTCCTGGATCTCTTCCTACAGTGCCCTGACACCCGCCTATACCCACAGTCCTCCAGCTGTGACAAGTGACCCCAGGACAGACCTCTTGCCCCACTGCCTCTTCCCCATCCCCTTGCTGCTCTTGCTCAGGCACCCCAAGCCCCAGCCCTCCTGGAGGGCCGCCCACATGTCGGGGAGGGAGCTGGGATACCTAGCAGCCAGGTGGAGCTGGAGCCCAGGCGTTGGCCCAGCACCCACCCTCAGGTCCAGGGCCTGCAGAGGCCAGGAAGTTCCAGTGATCAGACTTCGGTCTTCTTTTACTTCCCCTGATACTGAAGTGTTACTGACATATCTCAAAGTGCACGTGCCAGGCCCATGCAGTGGGGTTAACTCTGGTCCCTGTAACCCCTGCCGGTGGGGTGCCGTTACTTCCAGTTCAGGTGGTTAGGTATGCAGGCTTCCTCTGCCTAGCTTGCCCTCCCTCAGCCCTGGAGCACCCACCATCAGGCTCATGTGGGGACAGTCCCTGAGAACAGAGGTCCTCCGTCTACCAGCCTCGGGACCAGGGCTGCTGAGTACAATTGGGCAGGTTGTGGGCTGCATAAGGCATTCAGCGGAGAGGACAGGTAGGGGTGAAGTCCAGCCCCTCCCCTGCTATGTCCACCTGGAGGGCAGATTCTCAGAAAGGCACCTTCTGGGCCAGCAGTTCCCTGGAGGTGACCTTGGGTAGGTGACTGGCTCTCTGAACAGCATGTTTCTCATTTGCTGAATGGACATCAGTGTGCACACAGGGTGGGGCACAGGCTTGGCAAGTGGGTGAGCTGCCAGCGCGGGTCCTCCCACAGGCCCTGCGCTGTCGTGTCTCCACTTCAAGAAGATCAGGGCCTGGAGTCTCTCGGGCCTCGGCTCAGCTTCCCCTAGCTGCAAGCTGGCCTTGACGGCTCCTGGGCCAGCAGAACCTGCTCATCCAGGCAGGGCCCAGGCTGGAGCGGGTCAGTGGGGCAGGTTTGGTGTCGGTCTAGTCCCCATGCAGTGCTTGCAGCCCTGACAGCTCAGCGTGGTCCCTGCCCTATCGGGGGTCAGGGTCTGTTGGAAGCAGCATGAGTGTCACAAAAGGTTGTGAGTGGGGCCATCAAGGACAAGTGCCAGGGCTGAATCTGACAGGTGGGGTGGGAGAGGCCCCAGAAGTGGCTCTTAGAAAAAGAATGGTAAATGGAGAGGGGCAGCCTGGCACCTGGAGCCGCAGGTGCAAAAATGCTGAGGTAAGATTGGTACCCGGAGAGCAGGAGGAGCTGGTGCGGCAGGAGCAGCCTTCGGTGGTGGGACCCCAGGCCCTCAGGAGGAGGCCAAGCTTTATTCTAACTGGAGTCAGATGAGCTAATTGCATCTTGAAACTCTCCCCTGCTGTGTGGTAGCTGGGGGGCCAAGAGGAGGCTGGTGCCACCACCTCAGCAACTTTTGAAGGGTGCGAGTGGGGATGGGGAGGTGCCCTGGCCACGCCAGGCACTGGCCTGAGTGAGATGGCCCTCAGGACTCTGTCCCCAGGTTAGCTGTGTGCCCTGACCCCGTGTCTCCACAGGTCCAGCTCTGCCCTCCCTGTGCAGGAGGACCCAGACAGCGATGGGGAGGTCAGTGCCCTTCTGGGTAGGGGCTGCAGGAGCCAGGCCCTCACCACCCAGTGCCCACACATGGCTCTGGTTGCAGGAGCTGGAGCTATACTTCACGGAGCCCCAGCAACTCCTGGATGTCTTCATGAAGCTGGAGGAGCAGAACCTCTCATTGGTCCAGAACACCCAGGAGATGGAGGAGACATTGGAGGAACTGAACTTCACCCTGAAAAACACTCAGACTCGCATGTAGGTCTCGCACAGGTGCCTCGGTGGTGAAGGGGCTCTGTCACTGGTGGTCATGCTGGAACCCTCCACGGTCACTGGGAGATGGGCTGTGCACTCCCTCCTTATCATAACCCTGCCCCTGTCCTGGCTTCAGTTTTCTGGAAAGTTCCATTTGAACACCTAAGGCCTGGCTCTGGGGAGAGAGTGTGTCCTCTTCGGTAGGGGGTTGGGGGTGGGAGTAGGTCAGGTGGGTGGATTCAAGCGGGGCTGGCCCCTCCCCACTCTGGAGCAGCCTACAGTCCGAGGGGGATATCTCCAAGGACCTCCTGCCCAGGAGGTTTTTGCTGACACCAGGTCCTGCAGAGCTTGGCTGGGCAGAGTCGGGCCGAGGCAGCAGGTCAGGCCTGTTAGGAGCAGAGCGTCCTCCATTCGCTTCCAAACACTGACCAAGCAGCTGTTCTGGATCAGGCCAGGGTCTAGGCCCTCCAGGGATAAAGCAAGGCCCTGCCTTGTGAGCTGGCAGACTTAGAGGCCCACAGGTTTGACTTGTGGGTAGTAATACATGCTCGGAGGAATATGAAGAGTAATATAAGAAGGGGCTGAAGTGGAGGGTGGCAGCTGATGGGAGCAGGTAGGGGAGGTTTCCAGCGCAAGGTGTCTTTTGAGCCAGGTACTTCCTGAGCAATGGGTAGACACGTGGAGATTTGGGGGAAGAGAGCTGCAGGCAGAGGGAACGCAGTGCAAAAGCCCTGAGGTGGGAGCCAGCCCAAGGCTTTGCTTTTGCTGTCCCAGCGGAACCATGTTCTTGGAGTGCCCGTGTCCTGTTGGCCTATGTCTTGCCTTGGAGAATTTCCTGCTGGGAGTCTCCAGCATAATGTGAAAACATCAGTTCTTAGGAAAGATGGTGTCTCCTGGAACCTGGGAGGTGGCGGGCACAAAGCGAGAGGAGCTGGGGAGAGGCAGGCAGCCTCCCAGACTCCAAGAACCTGGTGAGGACGTACACACGCCCCTGCACACCTCACTGCAGAACCCTGGGGTGCTGCCTGGAAGCTGGTCTTTCGCCAGCTGAGCCACTTCAGAAGCTGAGCCGCCCCCAAGAGCACCGACACTGTATTTCCAGGGGAATCACAGCCCATGTGCATTTAAGTTCCATGAACTCAACCATTTTTTCTTGAGGGGGAAAGAAGAAAAAAAAGGCTTTAAAAAATACAACAAATAAACAATTTGAACAGGCCTATCTATTAAGGAGATTGAATGAATATTATTATTAATGTTCCAAACAGAAAACACCAGGCCCAGATGGGTTCACTAGTGAATTCTACCAAACATATAAGGAAGAAATAAAATTCTCTACGATCTCTTCCAGATAGAAACAGAGGGAACACTTCCTAACTCATTCTGTAAGACCAGCATTAACCTGCCTAGTACCAAAACCAGACAAAGGCATTATATGAAAACTGCAGACCAGTATCTCTCATGACCATAGATGTAAAAGTCATCAACAGAATATTAGCAAATTAAGTTCAACAATATATGAAAAGAATTAAACACCACGACCAATTATTCCATGACCTGGGGTTTTCCCCAGGTATACAAGGCTCATTTAACATTTGAAAATCATTTACTGCAATCTGTCACATCAACAAGCTAAAGAAGAAAAACCAACAGATGCAGAAAAATCATTTGATAAAATCTAACACCCATTCATTATAAAAATTCCCAACAAACTAGGAATAGAGGGGAACTTTTTGAACTTGATAAAGGACACCCAACAAAACCCTACAGCTAACATCATACTTAAAGCTTTCTTGCTAAGATCAGAAACAGGGCAAGGAGTTCCTGTCACCACTTCTCTTCAACATCAAATTAGAAGTCCTAGCTAACTCAGTACGACAAGGGAAGGAAATAAAAGGTGTTAGGCTGGGAAGGAAGAAAAAACCTTTGTTGCAGAACAGATGGTCACGTATGTAGAAAATACCAACAAAAAACTCCTGGAACGTGGGAGGGTGTAGCTCAAGTGGTAGAGCACATGCTTAGTGTACACAAGGTCCTGGGTTCAATCCCCAGTACTTCCCCTAAAACTAAATAAGTAAACCTAATTACCTGCCCCCTAAAAACAAACAAACAAACAAACAAAACCTCCTGGAACTAGCAAACCATTATATCAAGATTATAGAATACAAGGTTAAAATACAATGAAATGCTTAGGCATAAATCTAACAAAATCTGTACAAGATCTACACGAGAGGAAAACTTCAAAATTCTGATGAAAGAGATGAAAGAACTAAACAGAGAGATACGCCATGTTTATGGGTAGGAAGAGTCAATATTGTCAAAATACCAGTTCTTCCCAACTTGATCTGGAGATTCAGTGCAATCCCAATCAAGCCCCCAGCAAGTTATTTTGTGAATATTGGCAAACTGACTCTAAAATTTATATGGAGTCAAAAGACCCGGAATAGCCAATTCACTATTGAAGGAAAAGGTCAAAGTTGGAGGACTGACACTGCCTGACTTCAAGACAAGTGGCAAGACAATAGACAAACAGATCGATGGAACAGAGTAGAGAGCCCAGAAACAAACCCACATGAATGTGAACAACTGACCATTAACAAAGAGACAAAGGGAATATGATGGAGCAGAGACAGTCTTTTCAACAAATTGTGCTGAATCAACTGGACATCCAGATGCAAAAAGAAAAAAAAGAATTTAGACGTAGATTTTAAACCCTTCACAAAAACTAACTCAAAATGAATCACAGACCTAAATCTGAAACACAAAACTATGAAACTTGCAGAAGAAGACCTAGGTGAAACCTGTAAGACTTTGGGTATGGTGATGACTTTTTAGACACAACACCAAAGAAACAATCCATGAAAGAAAGAGCTGATAAGCTGGACTTTTAAAAATGTTAAAATTCTGCTTTATGAAAGGCACTGTCAAGAGAGTGAGATGACAAGCCACAGAAGTGGAGAAGATATTTACAAAATACCTGATAAAGGATGGTATCCAAAATGTATAAAGAACTCTTAAAATTTAATAATAGGAAGTGAACAGCCTGATTTTAAAAATGGGCCAAAGACCTAAACAGACACTTCTTCAAAGAAAATAGTCAGAAGACAAACACGCACATGAAAAGATGCTCAGCCTCATATGTCCTCAGGGAAATGCAAATTAAGACAATAAAGAGATACCACTACACACCTGTAATAATGGCCAAAACCCAGAGCACTGGTAACACCAAGTGCTGGTGAGGATGTGGAGCAACAGGAACCGTCATCGGTACTGGTGGGAACACAGAAGGGTGCAGCCACTTTGGAAGACAGCTGGGCAGTTTCTCACAAAACTAATCATATGCTTAACACAGAGCCAGCAGTTGCACCCATTGGTATTTACCCAAAGGAGTAAAAACCTTATGTCTACATAAAAGCCTGCATATGGATATTTATAGCAGCTTTATTCATAATGTATTCAAAACCTGAAGGCAACCAAGATGACCTTCAGGAGATACATCCAGACAGAATATTACTTGGTGCTAAAAAGAAATGAGCTATTGAGCCAGGAAAAGACATGGAGGAAATTTAAATGCATGTTGTTGACTGAAAGAAGCCAGTCTGAAAAGGCTATATGATTCCAGCTACATGACATTCTAGAAAAGGCAAAACTATGGAGACAGTGAAAAGATGAGTGGTTGCCAGGAGTTAGGAGGAGAGAGGGAGGACTAGGGGAGTACATGATCTGGGGGCAGTGCCAATACTCTCTCTGATACCCCAATGGTGGATACATGTCATTATACTCTTGTCCAGACCCTCAGGATGTACAGCACCAAGAGTGCACCCCAGTGTAAACTGTGGACTCTGAATGACAATGACGTGTCTGTGTAGGTTCATTGTGACAAATGGACCGCCCTGGTGCAGAATGTCCACAATGGGGGAGGGGACGGAGAGCAGAGGATGTGTGGGAAATCTCTGTACCTGCCACTCAATTTTGCTGTGAACGTAAAACTTGTCTAAAATATGAAGTCTCTATTTAAAAAATATATATACAATCGCAAATGAGCAGTCTGTTCCCACACTGGAAGCAAGAGGGGCTGTATTAGAGACAGTGCCCCTGAACTCAGGAGCGTTCACGGCAGAGTTATGCACAGCAGCCAAGGGCTGGACACGCCCTGTGCAGCCAGCAGCTGAGGGGACGCACGGTGTGGCCTGACCACACCACTCTGATTAGGTGTCCTCTGCTGTATATATCTGTTAGGTGTCGTTGGTTTCTTGTGTTACTTAAGTCTTCTATTTCCTTACTCATTTTCTGTCTGCTTGTTCCAGCAATTACTGCAAGGCAGGTATTGAGGTCTCCAATTATTACTGTAGAACTGTTTCTCCCTTCCGTATCGTCATTTTTTCCGTCATATATTTTGACTGTCATTAGGGGAGTAAATGTTTATTATTGTTATGTCTCCTTGCTGTAGTGAACCTTGTGTTAATATGTAATGTTCTTCTTTGTCTCTCGTAACCCTTTCTGATTTAAAGTCTGTCTGGTGTTAGTACAGCTGCTCCTGTTCTCTTTTGTTTGTATTTGCATAGAATATCTTTTTCATCTTTTCACTTTCAACCTGCTTGTGTCTTTGGGCCTCAAGTGAGTCTCTAGTAGATAGCATCTAGTTGGGTCATTGTTTTTTTTTTTCTTCCCGTTTTATTATGTGGAATGATTACAGTTCAACTGCACATACACATTATATTGCATGTAAATACATATAAGCAGTATACTGTACTTGTTTAGTTTTCATATATGTACTAATTATTTTTTCTAAGAACAGGTTAGATCTTTGGCTTTTTAAACTTACATAGTTATCAAAAGAATAAAGCCAACTACAAAATAAGAATCAACAGAATGTGGTAATCCAATCATAAAGGACAGTCAAGTGTGCTTACACATATTCAAGAAATCAAAATAATAATTAGCTCATTTGTGTCATTATTAATGTTACCATTTTTTAGATTCTTCATATAAATGATGGCATTTTT